TGTATATTCGGCTGATTGCGCAGATCGTTCGGCCCACGATTTCCGTTTAGGGGCGGCACCGGCACTAAATGGCAGCATTTTGTCAGCCAAAGTGTCTTGAAGTGTTTGTGCAACTGCCGCTCGCTATTGACTGGAGCTGTGTTCAAGTTCAAGTGTTGTTGCCCCAAACATAAAAAATCAAAAAAGTAGAGGGGAAAAAACACAAACTTAAAGTGGTTTTAGTTAAGTGTGGACTGCATTTCATATTTCCTTCGTTTTATGACCGAATGAAACCTAAAATGCCCTCGACTGGGCTCCTAATACGTTACTTCATATGCCGTGACATGACTTGCCATTATAGAGATAATGTCTGCAGCGTCATAAATACAAAAATCCACGTACTAAACCAGACAGGGGCAGCACTACAGAACAACAACAACAACAACAGAAACACAAGTGGAAGCCCATAGGCTAAGAAATAATTTTAAAAAGTGCCAAAAGGGCATAATCCAAAAAAAAGTCTGAGCCTTTGCCAAGCTCACACACACACACACAGCCCCTTGAAGAGCAACACCAAGTGGCAAAATACACACACACACACACACACACACACACAACACATACATAGACCCATTTGAAATGAAAGAAGCGAAACGTACAAAACGAGCGGAAATGCGAGACCTAAAAGGATGGGTGGGGATTGTGATTGTGAATGAGAGTGGGAGTGGGAGTGGGAGTGGGAAAGGGCTGCAGCTGAGACTGAAGTGCAGGTGGCATTGCAACGAGGAGCCGAGCAGCCATTTGGAATGGGTTTGCGCGCACTTTTGGTCGAGGTGACAAGTCAATGCGCTTTCACATTACAAAAGAGTTCAAATATGCACCTGACCTTCTAATATTATGTCAGAGCGCTGAAATAAAAACTGGTCACCGTAAGCTTGAAATTTCAAAGCATTGTAAGAGTATATATAAATTCAGTGATGGAATAGGGAATAGGTCCGAAAGAGCTAGTTCACTAAATTAATCCATTGTTAATAATATTGTTAGTTATTAAGTAAATAGCAAAGTGATGAAGAAAAACTCAACAAATATCTGTACAGTATTTTTCTATTACATTATATTCAATTTCAAGATTTTTCTTTCCACTTTTATTAAAATAAATTGAACCTCACAAATGCAAAGAATTTATTCACTTATTTATTCACAAGCTGTGAAGAAAGCTGTCATGATCCCATTTTCCTCATACCCTGTACCTGATTTATTGTTTAAATTGATTTCGGAATGTTTCCTTAGCGATTGATTGAAAATGATAAAGACATAAAAAAACACAGCAACACCCCTCGTTTTCGTTCCAACAAATTAAATTTAGAAGCAACTGAAATACATCTTAACAATCGCTGGAAATTACTTAATAAATGAAATAACATGTTGATGGAGATATCTTAGTATATTTCAGAAAGAGGTTCCTAACTTTTTCCGATACAATAGATACAAAAAGATAAATTCGGCCATGGATATATCGGTAAAGTCTTGTGCCATTTGTTGGAGACAACTTTAGTTTAATAAATGTTAAAGTGTATATGTCTCAATTTCTTTCATCTCTATTTAAGTGTATTTACTGGAGAGACGTTTTAATCCGGTAATTATTTAACAGAAGTGTATAATTATTAGGTAAATAAATAACAATCAGCTGTCGAGACGCATGGAACAAAAATGTGTATGTAAATATTATTATTCGCATTATTATACATAACAGGTGGCAGCCACAGAAAAGATGAGAACAATACGTAATTCTAAAATTTTAATATTCAACTAAATAAGAGTTGTAATATCATTGATCTTAAAATAGGAAGATAAGATAATCGGATATTCCAGTACCGACAAGATTAATTTATTTATAAAATTTGTCTGCTCACAAAACAACCACGAAACACTATTCATTTAAAATAAAAGAACTTAGAGATAAAAATTGTGCTTCTAAGAACAGTGCGATGAAATAAAATTGGAGTTGTTCATCACATATCTATGTGTGCATGCATTTGTGTGACGTGAATTCGCTTTTGTACCTTTAAGATAACTTTTAGATAATTTGTTTTTAATCTTTTTTGCATTTACAACTTAACTGAACAATTCAGCTAAGTATTCCGATTTCATAGCAAAAAGTTAAAGCTTGATGGAAAGTGTAGCGCAACAAAGGAAGAAGAAACAGAAACGCGTGGTCGTGTTGAATTCATCATTTGAGCCGCAAGAATAAGCAGGCATAGGCATGGGATAAAGGGAAGTTGAGGAAACGACCACCCATACATACACACATACACACACACACACACACATCAACACAGCTACACATATGTGTGGGCTTGTAAAGAAACGAGGCACACACGCACAGGGCTTGCGGCGTAGACTTTTTGTTTCGCAGGAAAGCATAAAAAAAGGAACAAGTGGATGTGCACTCACAAACACACACACACACACACAAGTGCGTCCAATATACACATGTCAGCTTTGAGGCACATAAAACACACACACACACATCCCACCATACCCTTTCTTCGCAGCCGAAATGAAAAAAGTGCCAAGCATACTCAAGACATACTTGCAATAATTTTATGGCCTGCCAGAGGAGGCTGATATTTTCAGCCGCACGGAGGCAGCCATGAAATCAGGAGGGAAAATGAAATAGAACTCACAAAAACCGAAAGAAGTAACATACAAATCCGTGCGCCGAGTAAAACAAAAAGAGTCGAACGGCAGCGACACAACAGAAATAAGGAAAAAAATCAAATACAAGAGAAGGCGAAAAGAACAAAAAAAAAAAACAAAAACAACTCTAATTGCAGACACAATGACTTGGTGGGTGGGTTGGCCGAACGGAACGAGTTGCAAGGATTTGCACAGCGCCGCAAGGCAGACGGCGAACAAGGATAACGGAGAGGGACAGAGTGGGACGATGTGGGACAGACGGACGGCGCATTCATGTGGAATATGGAAGCGAAATGTCAATTTGAGTAAAAATATAAAAATGGAGGCGCAACTTCAACCGAACGAAGCCCAAGACCAAAAATGTTATTCTAATTTAAGATAAGGCACAAATCTGTTTGCGCTGCGAATATAAGAAGGAGATAGAGTGTGTGTGCGACGGAGAGGGAGAGAGAGCGAACAAAGTAATGGGCGTACAATTTTCATGCGCGTGTGTGTGGTGGGGCTATAAAAAATTGATGCGCTTATTAAAGCGTGCAGTATTGTATTACACATACACTATGTGTATGTATGTATGTATGTACTATAAAAGCCTCTTCATATTTACTTTTATCCGTATATATGTTCATATGTGTATGTGCGATTTTAGGAGAAAGGGTTTAATATAAAGCATGTTGGGACTCTAATAAAAATATTGTGCTTGAATCACGCCTTTTGGGAAAATGAATTCCAATTTACTGCACAAGAATTACGAAATGTGGAATATACATACTTGAAGAGAACAAGAGGAAAAGCTAAAATCAGGAGCCCCGATTTTGAGATACTCTGTACCTATGTGCACAATGTATATAGAAATGTATGAGCATAATTGCAGCTCAGAGTTAGGCCAAAGCAGCTGCAAAAACAATAGTTACAGGCAGAGCTTGGACCGAGGTTATATATATAGCTGTAACTTTCTTTTCTAATCTTTTCTAATTTCTAATCATGTTGGAAGTTGGAAACACTTAGTTTCTAAATGAGTTCAAAATGGTCAGCTCGGCTATATCGGGTCATTTTGTCATGCTTACCAAATAATTTATATACTTTGTGGCGTCTGCCAAGCCTCCTTCTGCCTAATACTCCCTTCACTTGGAACTCTTGCACCTTTTAATTTAAGAAACATGAATATTGTATCCACAATCACAATTAATCAAACAATTAATCTACTAATTTTAATTAATAAATATAAACAAAAGTACACAAAAATATGCCAACCCATGAACTTATATTTCAATTAGAATGGTAATCCATTTTCATTTCACTTTTAAGGCAACAAGAATGTTTTGAAGTTTTTTAAAGCACAGAGCTATGAACCCATAAGAATGCTTGTGAAAATGGTAATGTATTTTTGGCAGCTACTATGGAATTAGGGTCCAACAAATTAATCCAATGATTGATGATAGCTCATTCAGCTTCTTCATAATTGTTTATTTATAGGACTGCATAAAATAATTAAAATGACTAAGAGACTGACACAGTTTAACAATAATACATATTTTTTAGTGCATGTGTTTTTCAATAAGTAACTTAAATGCGTAACTTTAATTGTTGTTTGACTGATTCATGGGTAGGTTAAAAGATTTCGCCGTTTAATAACGCGTTTCACGCTGGGATACTTGCTGTTCTGGAATCTTATCTCTTCAAAAAGTTTAATTACAAAATGCAATATTTTTTATAATCAGCTCAAAGGATTTTTTTATATTGAGCTGAATATTTAATTTGTTCTTGTAACTAAATTGAATATAAATATGTTACACAGTGAATACTCTCTTAATGGACATCTCTTTTGTCCGGACAATCTCTTCGGCGGACACTTTTTCTAAAACATTCGATCGGTGTATAAAGCATTTAAGTATCCCCTTAAGCGGATACTCCCCTTGGGCGGACTAAAATTGGCATACGAACGGATAGACGAATGATTTACACACATTCGCACAAAACTAGTGTACCCTTTGGTTACAGGGTATTAAAATAGAGCTCAATAACTTACTACCTGTGTTCGGCATATTTCCAAAATGTTGTTCTAATAACAAACAAAATTATATAATCCCCACAAATCCAATCAGTGAAGATTTATCTAAATGGCAAAGAATGTCTCTCAGGAGAAATACAAGTATTGTCGATTTTACATTTAGGGGTCTTCAAATGAGTGTTCATTGTCTAAATGCGCCCCACACAAATATTTCAGCTCTCTTCATATACTTTATATACATTTTTTGTTTCTTCTTGCAGATGCCGCCCTCTCCGAACCCTTCGAGACACATTTACGAGGCCCTGGCTTTGTCATGGAGCCACCGGGTCGCGTGGAATTCTCAAATTCCTCCGGCGGCTGGCTGGATTGCTCGGCCTCGGGCAGCCCGCAGCCAACGATCGACTGGGTGCATGCAGATGGCACGGCCGTGACGGAGATTCACGGCGTGCGGCGAGTCCTGCGCAATGGCACGCTCGTCCTGATGCCGTTCGCAGCGGCTGCCTATCATCAGGACGTGCACAATACGATCTATCGTTGCATTGCCAGCAACTCGGTGGGTCGCATTGTCTCGCGCGATGTGCAAGTGCGGGCGGGTGAGTAGCAGACAGCAATTGAAGAGGACGATGCTGATGCCGAGGGGAGAAGGATTCATAATGATATGAAATGCATATTTCGTATTTCGTAGTTGTGGCCCAAGCGTACAAAGTTGATGTCGAGGTATTATCAGCATCGCGAGGCTGCACCGCCATTTTGCGCTGCGTGGTGCCGACGTTTGTCAAGGAATTGGTGCGAGTGGTCTCGTGGGTTCATGAACCCGCTATCTACATCTATCCATCGTTGCAAGGCGGTAAGTGGCGAGCCAGCGAGCAAACGACTGTCTGCCTCTGCTGCTGACAGTGCAGATGTGTCTAGATGTGTCCGTGTGTGTGTGTGTGTGTGTGTGTGTGTGTCTGCAGCAAACAAAGTGCATTGTTTGTTTGGTGCATTGCCTCATGTGCAAACACTCCGAAAAATGAACTCAATTTAGACTTTGAATGTGAAATATTTGGCATTTTACAACTAAATGTCTTAAGTTCTGGTTTAAAATGAAGAAATTGATTCCAGTAATGTTTCTATTTTATTGAATTACTTAATAAGGCTTTGTTTTTTTTAGTTTCCCAGATGTATGTTATTGATATAAAATAAATGAATGAAGAAATTAATTCCAAAATTTGTGCAGTAATGTTTCTATTTTATTGAATTAAGATGTATGTTAATAATGTGAAATCATCCCTTAAATGATCGTTAAGAACGTTTTTATTAATCATACTTTTTGTTGTCTAAAAATGTCATTCTATATGTAGTATCTTATGGTACAAGAATAGGAAGATTTCCCAATGTGCCGACATTTCGAATTATTTTATTTTGTTTGTGTTGAATTGAAGTTCAGTTTGCTTTTTTTCGCAGTGTATTTCCATGCATTTGTGCAGTGTGGGAGTGCGCGTATGTGAGTGTTTCAGTCGTGCGCTTTGTTGCATAATTAACATTGTCCTTTGGCAAGTTTAAGCCTTTGCTTTTACGTTGACTTATATTGTTTTTAGCGCGGTCTATGTCAGACTTTTCTCCGCCTGTCTTCAACTTTGTGCATTTTTAATCCCGATTCCCTCCCCTGCTGCTTACAGATGGAAAATTCCATTTGCTGCCCACCGGCGAGCTGCTCATCCACAACTTGCAGGAAACCGATGAGTCGCAGTCCTTCCGATGCCGCAGCATGCATCGCCTGACCCGTCAGGTCGTTGTCAGCTCACCCACACGACTGAGAATCAACTGTAAGTAGAGCTGGACCTTGGGCAACAAAAATCAACTGCCTATTCCGTATTGCTGTCATTTTTCTCACTCACTCATACTCCTCTCTCTTTCTCCTCCTCTTTCTCTCTTTCTTGTACAGCACATCGCGGCATCATCTCGCCGAGCGTTGTGGAGCACACAGCCCATGTGCAGGTATCGCAGGACGAGGGGGCAGTGTTGTTGTGCGTGGCACAGGGCTGTCCTTCGCCTGAATATAGGTAAGCTATACTGCCAGGATGATGTAGTGTGGAAGAGAACGGAGGGGGTGGGCGTTGGCGTTGGCGCTGGCGCTGGCGGTAAATGTAGACTTTTGGCACACATTGCAAACTTTCGACGTTGACAGCTGCCTGTCTGGCTGTTTTCCTATTAGTTATTAGTGCCGCCTGCTTGACAGTCTATGGTCGCTTTTGTCGATGTATGTTGCATGTGTCTCTGTGTGTGTCTGTGTGTGTATGTATGTGTGTGTGTGTGTGTGCTAATTGCAATGCACACAGGCACGAACACAAGTGCTCGTTCACATACACCTCTATAGTGCGGTTCAGTTTCATAGATGTAGGTGGTTTGTTTGAACGCTTACCTTTTTATGTTAAACAGAGTTTGGCTTAGAAAAGAAACCAAGTGATTTAATGAAAACTTGGTTATCTAAGCCTCTCAGAATATATCAAAACTGATCGTTTAATATCTAAGTGATAAAATAATTAGTTTTCTCTTTAAACAAGCTTTGTATGCAGATCACAATCTTTATTAAGTAGCTATCAACACTAATTATTATTCGTTCACTATGTCTACTTCAATGAGTCTCCTACCGCTCGTTTTGCCTTAAATCTGTTTCCTTGAGAATTGGAAATCTTATCAAAAGTACTTCATCCGTAGAGCTGAATGTGAAACCAATTTAAATCCCAGTTTTTATATTTTTTAATTAGGGACAGAAGACAAAAATGTTTTGTCTTGCTATTGCGATTTTTTTTTTTTGTAAAAAGTCCTGACCCTTTTCAAAGTATTCAACAAACATAAAATCGGAAATTGATGCAGGTGGACAGTTATGTGATTTGAATGATTTTTCATGTCTCACGCCATAGAATGCTTACCGTGTTTGTTTTTTTATTTTAATTGTAAATGTGACTATTGAACAGTTCTTCTGTTCTATAAGTAGAGCTTGTTTGGGAGAAAACTGAAACCATTTGCAAAAATATTTATTCTATGAGTTGTATATTTATATTATTCGTTTCTAAAAAACTTCAAGTATGCCAAGAAAGTAAATCTAATTAAGTAAATCTATTAACAAACTTATTTCGTCAACGTAAGAAAAAGGGAAATTAGCTTCATTTTCGCTCTTTAATTGGAAAGTAACTGCTTTGTCCACAAATGGCACCCGTGCATATTTTTATGACCTGAAGTGTGTATATACAGGAATGTATGCACGTTTAGCTATTAGTTCGTGTTTACTTGGGCGTTTATGGTTGCAAAGCAAATAAATAAACAGCAACACATTAATTTTTAGAAAATGTGTCAAAAGAGTTTTTCCACACACACACACACACACACACACACACACACACACACACACACACAGAGAGAGAGAAACACACACATACTTAAATTGCTGGCAAGCCACAAACTAACAGACTTTCAACCACTCGTTATGTGCGTGAGTTTGAAGTGAAAGTATGTGAGTGTGTGTCTGGGTGTTGTGTCTGTGTCTGTGAGTGTGTGTCTGCCGCCTTATGTCCATTAATTGAAACGTGAGCTTCTCTAATGAAATTTCTGGAAAACTTTTAATGCTGTTCGCTGCAAAACTTGTTTTCATAATGAAGCGTACAGTGCGTATGTGTAATGCATGTAGTATGATGTATACGCCATGTTGGGCACACATTCAACACAACAGCGGACAGCAACAGCAGCGGCAGAACAAGAAAATAAAGACAAAAGAATAGGTAATGATGTGTGTAGTCGTAAATCTGTATGAGGCGGGGGTCGAAACATATGTGCACACATAATTACGCTTTGATAAGCAGACAAGTAATAAAAACTTTTGCTCTGGCATGGGAATAATACTCCTATGCTGCCTCAGCCGACTTCGTAGCTAGAACAAAAGAATTCAAGCGACCAGCACCAACCAGGGCAGATAGACAACGAGGCGGTGGCAGCCCAGCAGGATTACGAACGCGGGCAGAAAAACGAAGCTAAACAACACAACACAACACAAAAAAAAGTATTGTTGCCATTTCATAATTAATGTGCACAGAGACAACGGAAAATGAGCGACGAGAGGTGGGACTAATGCAGCATGCGCTAATGGGCGAGAGAGCAGTGATAAAGGGGCAGAGGAAGTAGAACCAGACAATCAGACATTCAATGATATGCAAACAGTCAGCTTATCAGACCTTGAACTCGCACATGGGCTTTAAGTTTCAGCAATGGAGAAAGCTGGAATATTCTATAGCACTAAAGAGTTACTGTCGAAAGAATAGTTCTATAACTGAAATGCTGTTAGGCAGTCAGGAAGCCAGGCGTGTGTAGAAAGATAAATCGAACCACTTTAATTATATATGATGTATAATAAATACTACTATTCTTCATTCTACTTTATTCGATATGCATTTAGTTTTAGATGAATCAACAATGATTCAACTTTATTCGATATTACTTTATTCGATAAACATATAGTAAGCTTAGTCTAAAAGTTTGAATAATTAGCTTTTATTACTAGCCAATGATTCTTCGATCTGATATTTCATTAAATTAATGCTGACCATTTTTATTCCGTTCGATAAAAACTTTCCATGAGCGCTTTGTTTAAAAACTCTTTCCAGTTCAAAAACTTTAGTCTGTTCAGGGGTTACTAAGCTCCTTGTTTAATCCAACTTAATAAATACAATTATAATTATACTTGTATTATTTATTTATATGGGCTAGGCCAGAAGTAGATTAAAAAAGTTCAGAATAATCCAATTCTTTGATTGGCTCCTAGAGTTCAAACAAGCAGATATTTTCAGCAAAATCTTTTCTGCTCGTTTCCAATTAATTTCTGACTAGAATTGAGGCCTCAAAATCATATTCTAAGTTGTGGTGGAAATGAAGCCATAATTAAATATTTTTTATCCACACATAACTAACTTAACGAAGCCTGGGAACTAAATCCGGAAGACACAGAGAGGAAAAGGTAGAGTTGAGAATATTAGACATTGAGCAATCTTATCTACATTATTAGTATAAAATAGAAAGGTTACAGAAATTTATTATAAGAACAGGCCTAGAGAATGGATTTGATAAGTCACAGACTATGGCTTAGAGCAAAGTAAATTGAGTCCTAAGTATAAAAAAGGCAATCTAACATAGTTGTTGAGGGGTGCTTGAATTGAGAATTAATGATTTAATTTAAAAGCTATGCCACCAAAGTCTTCAACTCATACGGGCACTGACGAACTCTCCACTCTTTGCAGCTGGTACACCCAAAACGGTCCCGGTCCTCTGCCCGTTCTGAGCGGTCCACGTGTGCGTCTGCTCGGACCCATTCTAGCCATTGAGGCCGTCACTGGTGAGGATTCAGGCGTCTACAAATGTACGGCCAGCAATGTGGGTGGCGAGGCCAGCGCCGAATTGCGCCTCACTGTGGCCACACCCATACAGGTGGAGATCTCGCCGAATGTATTGAGCGTCCATATGGGGGGACAGGCGGAGTTTCGCTGCCAGGTCACTAGTAATGGCAGCCCAGTGGGCATGCAGAACATACTTTGGTACAAGGACGGACGTCAGCTGCCCTCGTCCGGGCGCATTGAAGATACATTGGTGGTGCCACGTGTCAGTCGTGAGAATCGGGGCATGTATCAGTGTGTGGTGCGACGACCTGAGGGCGATACATTTCAGGCCACAGCGGAACTGCAATTGGGAGGTAAGCTAAGCAGGGAGATATTTCAAGTGGATGTGATTTAAATATTTATTACTATATTGTTTTCAATTCCTACAGATGCGCCGCCGGTGCTGCTCTATAGCTTCATCGAGCAGACACTGCAGCCAGGGCCAGCTGTGAGCTTAAAATGCTCAGCAGCCGGCAATCCAACGCCACAAATTTCATGGACATTGGACGGATTTCCGCTACCATCAAACGGAAGGTAATTGAACTTGTTGAAAAGCGGCGCATGAAATGAAACCAAGCGCTATTTTTCCTCCCTCCAGAGAGAGAGGGCGGGAGAGAGAGGGTGAGCGCGGGGGCAGTAGAGGGTTGCAGGGGATGTGGGAGAAAGCGAGCTAAACAAATGCGCGTGGCAATGGCAACGCTGCGGGCGCTCGGTCGGTCTGTCAGTCTGTCAGTCTGTCTGTCGGACGGTCGGTCGGTCGGACGGTCGGTCGTATGTTCGTTCTTCCACTCGGCTTGTCTCGGCACAACTCGGCGAGACGCGCCGCGACGCGCCTGTGGATGTGCTATGAATATTTTTTTCAGTTTTCCCCCATTTTTTTCTATTTATTCTCTTCTTTTTTGTTGTTGTAGCTGCATTGGTAGTGGTAACCATTTGCCGGCTGCATTTATTGCTATACTTCTGTTTGCATCCAGCCAAATGGGTATAATAACTTTAGTTAGTTGTTTTGTAACGCAATGATGGACTTGGATAGTCGGTGATGAGTTCCAAAATATATGATCTACCTATGTATCTGTCGGAGATGAATTTAATTGTGATGCATTATAAACACCTTGCTCTCAGCTGACCTGCTCGACTAATCATTTTGTGGCTTAAAGTAGATTTAAGAAGAAGTTTGCGATCAAAGTATAATGAAAAATAATATCAAATATAATACGAGCTTCTGCAGTGAAATTAAATGAAATCAATTCCATTGACGCTTTGGTTTGTCAAGGAATGTTAACTATCCATCTTCAAAAGGTCTTTGTTATGTTTTCTGTTATTTTATGTCAGGTTTGTGTATAATTTTGTATATGGAAAGCAAGTCTTTGAGAGAGCGGTGACACAATGTTATCTTCAATATTTAAGTCGTTTCTATTAATATAATAATAAATCCCATTGAAGTTGTTTATGTGGTTTTTAGATACATACTGTGAACACTCTAAACGCATTTCTGAATCTTTTAATTTTGTAATAAATTTCCCGCCGTAACAAATAAATAAACAAATAGTAGTAAAATGAAATAAACTAAAAAATTTTAAGTGTTAATTATAAAATAAATAGCTAAAATAAAAAAAGTGAAATGAAATACAATAGATTCTATCGTCACATAAAAGAAAAATACAATTTTAAAAAGGATATATAAATTGACTAACATAACTTCGTGAAACTCAGAATGTACAAATTAAATATTAAATAACAAATTCGCATGTAGGTAAAAGTATTTAAATAAAATAAATAAATAAGTAAATCAAATAAATTAACAACTTTAGAAAAATTGAAAAAAATAAAAAACAAAAAAAATAAATTAAATAAACAAATAATACTTGTATATATAAAAAAAAATAACTAAAACAAGTAAAAAAGCTATAATAATGAAACTTGGCATACTGACACATAATCACTAACTGGGGGTATTTGCCAAATTTGTGGTCGAAATTCGAATCAAAAAAGTAAAACAAACTCGTATAGCGTACACACAGAAGGCATCTTTGTGCAAAATTTGGTGTCTCTAACTCTTATAGTCTCTGAGATCCAGGTGTTCATACGGACGGACGGGCAGACGGGCAGACATAGATCGACTCGTCTTGTCATGCTGATCAAGAATATACACTTTGTGGGGTCTGCCACGCCTTCACACTTTTTTCAGCTCACGCAAACCTGATATACTCTTGTACATTTCATGTACAGAGTATAAATATTAAAAACACATGAAAAAACCAATTACTATAAATACAAAGAAAAGAAATAAATAACTAAAACATATAACTTAAATAAATATATTAAGTAGCAAAACAATAAATTAATTTAAATAAAATACGATTTATTGACAAGTTCTTTTCCATTTGCCCAGAGCTCAACAATTATTGATATCGAAACAGAAATTTATAATGCATTTGTCTAGGGTATATAGTTTTCGGTGATACAAAAGGCGCAGCAGTTCTTGTTTCCTTTTTGCATGTTTTTGCTTTTGGCTTTTAAAAATGTTATACACACACACAAACATACCTCCATATATCTACAACATATAGAAAAGGTCCATGGCGGCAACTGGCAACTGCAGCTGCCAATGTGGTTGCTGCGCCTACCGGGCCCAAACGTCTGCTTCAACGTTCATTCACTCGCTGGCTGCCTTCCTAGTTCCTGTTGCCTGATGGCTGATGCCGGCCTGGTGCCTGATGCCTAGTGCCTAGTGCCTCCTTCCCCTGCCTGCTTGCCGGTTGCCTCTTATAACATGCTCCCAACGTCTGTTGACGTTTGCCTTTGCGCTTTGCGTTTTGCATGTGAATTTGTACAGTTGTGTGTGTGTGTGTGTCCTCTGTCTGTCTGTGTGTGTGTGTGTGAGAGTGGGACTCTGCATTTGTATTTGTTAATTAAGCCATGCAAGTCTATGTTGCCAGTTGGCCTGTCCCTCCTCAGGCCTTCAGCCTTTTCTTACGCATTTAATTGCATTTTTAGCCAGCCTAGTTGAATCGCTCATTTCATTTTGGTTTATTAAATGCAAAGGCTTCTGCTAAGCATCCTGGCTTTAATGACATTGACATCTATGCCAGACTACCAGCAAATGTACTAGTGGCTAAACAAATAGTGGAACTAAAAACCAACAACAACGAAAACAAGCAATCGCGGTGACATCGATTGATTGCCATTGCCACTGCCAACGAGTTAGTGAACGAAAATTCATTTGATTTTTAGTCCACTTCTTTTTTGCTCGTTGTCAGTATCCCAAGTCCCCCTCCCGCAGATCATGGGTATGTTTGCCAACTGCCACTAATTGTTTGACTTGCGACAGTAATGATTTGCAAGTCAAAGTTAGTCGCCGAAGTTGCTGTTGTTATTGCTGTCGTTGATTAAAAAATAGCTGCAACTCTTCTCTATTCTCCTCCTCTTCGTGTCTTCCTCTCCATTTTTTTTATTTGCACGGCTTTGTTGTAATTCCTCGCTGTTTACCATGCAAAACAAATGTCAAAGAGAAATAACAAAAAAGTGGGAATAAAAATGTTGGGAATAAAAAACAAATCAGACAACATCGCCATCATTGAAGAATCACAGTCACTAGTGCCAAAGTCAACAATGTCCTCCGGAGAGAGTTATTGTACAAATTAAGTGACAAAACGTGGTACAAAAGAAGGTTTAGCAAAATCAGAAATCACTCCCAGTCCTTGGTTCCTGGAATAAATACTATAAATTTACTGTGCTTAAGAATAAAATAAAATAAGCACGGCTTATAATCAGAAATTGAGTAACGGAAAAATTCGCCCTCCTAATTTGTTCAGTAAATATGGTCAGTTGTACCTACAATAATGCTTTATAAAGCTCACCGTAAACTGATCACGTATTCTTAGCAATAAGTTTAAGATAAAATATCCAGATCAATCCAGGAAGTGCTTTTAAGAGAGGACCGCAATCTGTTCTATTGTGAGGGTGCAAGTATTTTGACCCAAATAAAATGAGTACTGATTATTATGGACCCTATTGTAAAACTTCCAAGGGAACGTGCTCATTTATTCTGGACGCGATCGTAGGAGTGCAACTCTAAAAGCCTTGCACTCAGCCGACTGCCCATGCGCAGCTGTTGCATTCCAAAGCTTTTTATTTGCCAAAAATAAGCTTTCCTAATCTAATTAGATTTCCGGCTTAAGCAGATGATTTATTTCTGCTCAAGTCTTACTCAAGATCGGATGCACGTCGCTCTAAAGCACTTATAATATTTAATAAGGTCACGTGTTAGACCCAAAATATTTAATCGGAAGACATCGTCTCCATATAAAAACTGTGCGATTTATTCGAGGTGCCGGACTATTTTAATACCCCCACCTAAGCGCGCCGCCGTGATTATTTTGATTGTTTTTATATTTTGGTGCAATTTGGCATTTACACCAGGTAAGCCTCGTGCAATAATGTCAATAATTTAATGCTTCTAACAAGCATCCCTTTACACCAGTGAAACTGCCTCGACATATATTGGTGGCTTTTGTTTTGGGCTACCAACGCATTTGCGAAATTTTGGTACGCTTACCCAGCCCAGACCGCAGCGTCGGTGCTAGGAACACGTGTGTTAAGGCCCAGCATGGGCAGGCGTTAGAGACACTCCCGGCTAGCTCAGTTGCCAGAGCATGAACTGATGCTAAAGCCCAACACCAGCTCTACTGAACCCCAGAATTTGACTCCAATGCGCGCACTATAAGCTGATCTTTCGTATTAAAACATGGCGCTTGCCAAATCCACCTCCAGTTTAAATGGTTTTAGATCTGACCGCACCTAATTGAAAGAGACACACAGACCACAATCTTTGTATCGATGGGATAAGTCATATTTGCCAATAATCTTAATTTAATAGGTTAAATCTAATTCTGTTTTCTTTTTACGTCTTATAAAGCCTCGGTGCGCTATGAGTATATTGTTGCAAACATAATATGCCAATTTGTATCAACAGCCAATCATCGTCAACAGGCCTGCTGACATCGATGGACTCTGAATGTTGTAAGTACGGCACCGTCAAAAATATTAAGTGTAAAAGGTCATAAATTGAGTGCAACAATAGCATAGCAATCTGCTAGAAAACGTGTTTACTTAAAACGCCTATAATTGAATGCGGCGTACATTTTGTTAGTATACTTAACTATTCACCTTTATTCTTGTATATATCACTTCCTAATTATAAGTAATTTTGTAAAAACACTTCTTATTTTCCTTATTTTACTTAAACTTCCTATCTTAATCAATATGAATTGTTTCTAAAGATGAATTTTCTTGAATTATATGCGGTTATTTTTGAAGAAAACATGATATAATTTAATTTCCCTATGGGCACCTAAAGTATCTCACACCTCAATTGCAAAAAGGGTAGGATCCTATAATTTCTCCGATCCTACAGGTAGGGAGGGTATAGAAGAAGAACACTTCCATCTTGGTTCTTCAAATACATAAAGTAGACGCATCTCAAGGTAATACAAGTGGCTTTTTGGATTCATTCCTTATCTGTCTACGAATTT